CCCCGGCCCGCCGTGCCCCGCTGTGTCCGGGCCCCGCTCGGCCGCCAGCAACAGGTGCGCTGCTCCGGGCCTGCTCCCGGCCCCGCCGCCTCTGCCGGGGCTCCTCCCTGCCGCGGTGACCGGCTGCCCCGATCGTGCTGCACACCGCCTCTCCTCAGCCCCAGCCTGCCCTTGTCAGCCCTGCCGCACCTCGGGGCGCTCCGGCTGTCCCGGGGCAGGGCCGCCCCGCGCTGCGAGTGCTCTCCGTGTCTGGGATCGCCCTCCCGAGCAGGGCAGGGATGGGTGCGGAGCCAGCGGGGAATCTCTCCCCGTTCCCTGAGCAGCCCCGCTCCCGTGTCTCCGGCGCCTCAGTGTCCCCACGGGCTGGGTTCCTGTTCCCGGGGCGCTGCCATTGCCCGCAGCACCCGAGTTGTGCACGGGTCGGTCACGGTGTTCAGAGCTGGGGATGGCTCTGGTTCTCCGGGATTTGTGSGGTTTGAGCTGTGTGGTTGGAGGAGAGCGCTGCCAAGGATGGGAAGGGGTCTCAGAGCTGCCCCTCGCCTTTAGCAGTGTGAGGAAAGTTAAAGCCGGCTGGGTGGGCAGATTCCTTGAGGGAGAAAACGCTGTGGAAGTGCTCAGGGTTGGATGATCTCACCAAGGGACCACCAGGGTGGGGAACACAGGAGAAGCACTGTCTTGACTACACAGGTAATTTGGGGAGTCACTGGRTGAGACTGTGTGAGCTAATTTGCCAGAAATTAGCAGAATAAACAGAGTCTGGAATGCACACTGGGAGTGGTCTCCTGTGGTGTGCCTGAGCACTGCCAGCAGAGCACACTCCACACTCTGTGGTGCTGCAGAGCCTGTGAAGGGAGAGCTGAGCTCTGGCTCCGCCAGCCTGGAGCGGTGACATCAGCGTGTTTACACCGGGCTCGTGGCGGGGCTCTGCATCCAACTGTGCAGAACGGCCCAGCAGTGGTGAATCTGTGCTGTCAGCTCCCGTGTGCTGCTGCTGAGCTGAGGGGAGAATTGGCTGTGCTTGTGCTGAGTTCAGCCCTTTGGAGCGCTGGGGAAATGTTGTCGAGGCTGCAGTTTCTTCATCGCAGCCATAGTGTTTGGCACTTTTCAGTGTGATCTTTCTTCGGGAAGCTATCAAAAGCTGAGCCATCAGCAGTCTGTGGAGTAAGGCRAAGTTTGGTCTCTGAGAGGTCGCCAGTTCTCTGGGTGTCCTCTTTGAGCTGCCAAACAGCCTGGTTAAAACAGGACCCAAGAAACAGCGACAATTCCTTGCGTTGTTCTTCCCATTCTATTGACTGCCTTGTGCGTTGCTGCACCTTGGAGAGATGGTATCACCAGGTGTTTTTGGGGACAGTCCTGTAGCAGTTCTGATGGCTCCTGCCTGAGAGGTTTTTGTGTTGGAGAGGAATGAGCAGCTGAGCCTGTGCCAGTGCCATGCCCTATCCTGCTGCAGAGCACTCTTCCCAGTGCCCAGCTCGATGCAGCATGTGCATACCCTCTTGGTTTCATTTTGGGTCTGCTGGAATGAACACAGCCTGTGTGCTTGCCACGCAGCTGGAAATT